CTCATACAGTATGAGAAAGGGGAAAGAAAAGACACAGCAGTGTGCTGACATGGAGTTCAAGGCCGCGGGTACCTAAGGCTGTGGCAGGGAGTGGGGAGTGCTGCGGTCAGACAGCAGCAGGTCACAGGGGACCGACAGCCTCATCTCTGCTTAGACTGTACCCTTTGGATGGTAGAGGCTGCTGAAGGGTTTTAAGCAGAAGATTTAAAACCCGGAGGTTATTTTAGTGACACTAGAGAGGACAGGGTGGAGGGAGACAACGATTTGAAGAAGCATAACTTCTGAGGAGACATTTTCACAAATGAGCAATAGCTGACCAGAGATAACACTTAGCACTTGTTAGAGGTGATAAATAAGTATCACAATGCAGTCATCTTAAAACGCTCAACAGCCTTATGAATTAATACTACTATCATCTTAGTGGTACAGCTAGTGAGGCAGACATCGGTAAGTAACTTGGTCAGAACCAGTACCAAGCTAGTATCTGGCGCCATACCTGTGCTCTGAATGTAAGCCTCATTTGTGTAACGTCTGCCTCTTCTATTAGACTGAGGCTTCTGTATAGACAGGGAGTCGCATTGGCAGTGTTCTCTGCTGTGTCTACACCCTGGGCACACAGTCATTACTTGCTGAATAAAATCACTGAATAATCCACATGAAAGAAACAGTGGGATAAATCATGTAAGTTCAAGAGTCTAGACACAATATTGGTAACTGGCGTTTTCCTAAGGCGAGACCAGAGTTCTCTCGCTCTCTCTTCACACACACTAAGGACAGGCCATGTAGGGACACAGAAAGAGGCAGCCAGATGCAAGTCAGGAAGAGAGTTTGTACCAGGAACTGTGCAAGACAGAACCTTGAGCTGGTATTACTACCCTCTAGTACACTGGGAAGGGGAATTTCTGTTGTTTAGGCCACCCAGTCAATAGTACTTGAGTATGGCCGCTCCCAGAGAGCACACCAAGACAGAGATTAATACAATAAGGATGGATGATGAAAGAGAAGTTCCTATCTTAGCACACAGGAGAGACCATGCCATCTCTACTAGAGGAAAAAGAGGCATTTGCAGTAGTCAGTGAACAACCTCAATTACTTTGGGTTCACCTTTATTCAAATATAAAAATACGAAATTTACCATTTGTGACTACTTATGCAATGTTTACTTATAATTTCATGGTATTCTTTGTGCTTGTTCTAAGAAAAAGCAATGAGACTCACTCTCTGCCATCAAGGAACTTAGTCCTGTAGGAAGAAAAACCACTTCCGTACCCTTAAAGACTTGCAACCAATAAGTACTGGGATAATATCCTATGTAGACCAAGAGCTTTGGGTTATGTGATCCACATTTGAATCAGGGTTATCTAGGTTCAGTGGTCAATAACCATATTGACCTTAGGGTCAGTCCTTGTAACTGTAGAATCGGATAAGGCAGGTAGAACCCTAAGGTAGAATATGCTTGTTAGTAGTTATTCAGTTATTAAAACTGTATTCCTAACTCAAAGAGACTAAAGCCATAGACAGCAAGTCAGGAAAAAAAAAAAAAGCCAGATTTTACCACCATACTAGGTAGCAGAAATTCCAGGCTGGATGGACAGGGTTAGAGTAGCAGGAGCTAGAGTAGCAGAGAAACAGGCTTTGGGCATCTGCAGACCTAGTTCAATCACAGTTCAGTCAGTTATCACCTATGGCAAGTTGAGTAAGTCATGCTATCGATCTAAGCTTTAGTTGTTTTAGCCACAAAATGGAGTTAATAATACCTACCCAAGAGGGCTGTTCTGAGTACAAAAAGGGCTTGGCGTGGTGCCTGGCAGAATTGTCACTCAATTAATGGCAACTCTTGCTCCTATTAATATAATCATTTTCCTCTTTTACCTCCTAAGGGATTTGTTTAGATGGTTAAGTTACTTGAGATTCGAGGAAGTGAGGGAAATGGAAGAGCTATTAAAGACTAGCTTTAAAGTTATTTTTAAATATAAAGAAAAGCAGTTTAACTTGGCTTGCTTCTCTTAACACACGGAACAAGCATAAGTCATTGAAATTGGCCACCGTGTTATGGCTTAGAGCTTGATAGAACCTCCTTGTTAATGATTCCTTGTCCCCTACCCAAAGTAGGTCTGCAAGTGCTGTTGATAAAGGTTCTCTGGGGGTATTTAATTCCTTTCCAACTCTAATATAAACTCCAGTCACCCAAGGGCTTGTTAAAAATGTACATTTTCATCTAGGAGATTTAAAGTAGGTCATGAAATTCTGCATTACCAATAAGCTCCCATGTGAGACTCATGCTTTGGTTCAAGGATGGCATTCTGAGGAAGTGTCAAGGTGCTGAAAAGATACAGAAATATCATTATTGGCCTGGTGCTTGTTGTCATGGCCTGCTTCTCTTTAATGATCTACCTAATAATAGACTATTAATGGAATATGAACAAACTTGTTTCAGACCAAACTTGGAAATTCTGCATATGGACTCATTTTAAATCAATATCATCTATTTTGAACAAGTTCCTGGAACACAAAGTTTGCTTCCAAATATAGCTGTCATTAACCTTGTATACTCATAGACTGTTAAGTTCCGGAAGGCAGTCTTGCCTTGACTGTTACCTAAAACTGTGTGTCAAGAGATACTGAGAGGATGAATGAAAAAAAAATCATAAAATCCTCATTAAAAAAGTCTTCTGGTCAGAGGCTGTCAAATAAAATTCTAGTACATTTAGTGGGATACCACCCTTTGAGGTAATCTGGAGAGCCCTCAAAACACTACAGGCTAATACCATTGCTCTGCTTGCCCACTAAAAATGTATGTTAAGACCTATTGCTGAAGACACCATATACGTGGCTCACAAGTTATGGAGGGAACCAAGTTGGTACTGACTAGGAAGCTTCCTTGCAGGTTACTTTTAGAGTATTGGAAGGCGCTATGTAGGTTGTTTGAGGGAAAACAAAAGGTCATCAGTAGCAGACTACTGACAATGAAAGAATGACTCGTGGCAAGATATACCCAGGGCTGCAACAGTGGCATGGATGTTATGGGGTAGCACACTGCTGCCTGATGGGATATAAGACCTGCTTCACAGGAGGAAACACACCTGGTACTGTAAACCTGGCCAAGAACCCATCGTTGGGGGCTCACAGGCCCTGGTGGGGAAGAGAAAACCTAGCAGTAATTATTCTGCTAAATGGATTTAATATCAAACAGCCCTCTAAATTTGTATCTCTAGCCATATAATAGCATAGTTCTCAGACCTTCTCAGAGAAGTCTCTGAGACTTCTCAGAGTAGATGGTGCTTAATGCACAGACACTAAGTGTTGGAGGAGTGCTCAGCGGGACATCTAGATCATCACCTGCTCCAAGGCTCATGGACCATCTCAGAAGAGGGCCAGACACACTGTAAAAGCCAGGGCTTGGGGAGGACCAGAGCGAAACAGTGTCTTCTGGACATGACAGGACCACTACATTCATAAACTCACAACAGTGATGGTTGCCTGCACAAGATCAAGTCTGCCAACACTCAAGCTTGGAGAGGAGAGGAAGGGGTTCACAAGACCCCAACTTTAACATGAGGAGCTATGGACAAGCTGATGGCTTTGGAGGCAGGAAGAATCAGTTTTCTTTCAGGTAGGTTGACCATGCTCTTGTAGATAAGAGGGAAAAGAAGAAAGGATATTGGAAGAGTAGGTAGATGGGGTGGATCCAGGAGGAGTTAAGAGGAAGAATGGGGGTAAATAAGATCAAAATATATTATATAAAATAAGCAAAGAATAAATAAAATATTTTTTTAAAATGTCTTCTGGCACTACAGGACAGTGAGATACTTTCTCTAACTGGGGTCGCTTTCAGCAGAAACTCAAGCCTTGGTAGGTCTTGGGGACACAATTACAAGTGGGAGAGAATGAATGCAGAATATGGTAACCAGTGAGCCAAGCAGAGTGGAAGAGGCCCGGGGCTCAGCCAACTGCAAGGAAGAGAGGGAAACATGAGACTGTGTTTTGAATCCTCTCAATGGTGACCCCTGGAAGTAGATCTGATTAAAAACAAAGACCAGGCGCAGTTCTGGGATAGATGCGGCAACCAAGGTGCAGGGCAAACACAAGGCCGAAAGGGCTGGCTGACTCTAAAGTATGCAGGTTGATTTTTCTTGAGTGAATTTGCACTCAGGCCCAGAATGCAGTAGTAGCCAAAGAGAAACCCCATACACGAAGTCAACCATCATATAGTTTGCTGTGGCATATGCTTGAGGTTAGGAGGGGTGGGGAGATGACGATGGTGTTGAAAGAAACCCGTTCATCCGGGTGCAAGTTTTCAGGAGCCCTCACTCTGAAGAAGTAAGTCCCCACCTACCCTAGTGTGAGAAGCAAGATCTGCTGGAAGGACAAACGCTCCACTGCTTTGGCTAGCTTTGAATCCCTAACCTGGCCATTTTGAGTGTCCGATGAACAGCTGCTAGTCAGTTAAGTATGGAGAAGAATGCCTAAGAGGCCTGGGGCTTATTCAGAGCTTGGAAGCTCTGGAGACTTCTGTTTCTGCCCCGTGGATGGCAGACACTGTCAGCAGCTGGAGCTGTCCAGCAACGGCGTTCATTCTCTTTGGAAACGGTGAGCTTCCAGTCTAGGGGTTTGAGGCAAGGGCTGTGGGACTCTGTACATGGAACCCTGTAGAGGGTGGTGAGGTATCAGTAAGCTCCCAAGGCTCTCCCAGGCCCAATCTCACAATACCTGACTCTTGACAGACCCTAGAAAGAATTACAGGTGGGAGAGACTGGATCAGAAATATGGCTTAGCTTGTGAGTCAGGTAGAGTGGAAGAGGCCTGGGGCTCAGCCAGCTGCCAGCAAGGTGGAGGGAGAAGCATGAGAAATCCAGGGAGCCAATAGCAGGCCTTCCTGGAGTTTTAGCTCTGTAGACCAGAGGTCATGCTTTGGGTACCTGAAGCCTCCCTCGGTTATGAAAGGGCAGTTATCCCTGAAGGAGAGTAGGAGCTGGGGAAGGATAAGGACCACTGCTCACCCTTCTTAAACTCCTCCAGCACCGTGTCCAGCCGGGTATCATTGAAGACGCAGTGCAGGGGCCTGTTGTAGAAGCGGGTGACTGTGAGCAGCGGCGTACAGTCGTCCGGGTCCACAAAGGCCAAGTCTTTGACGAACAGAATGTCCACAATGTTGTGCCTCTGGTCGCCCTCGTACACCGGGATGCGAGTGTAGCCACTGCGAAGGATCTCGGACACAGTGGCGAAGTCGAGGACGGCATCCGAGCGCAGCATGAAGCAGTCCCCGAGGGGGGTCAGCACCTCCTCCACCACCTTGGTGCGCAGCTCCAGGGCGCCCTGGATGATGTTGAGCTCCTCCTTCACCAGGTCGCTGTAAGGGTCCGCCGCCCTCAGCGTCTCCAGCAGTTTCTCCCTCGTGTAGAAGGTGCTGATCTCCTGGCGCAGAGCCCAGTCCAGGAGGCGGCCCAGCGGGTAGCACACCGGGAAGGCGGCCGCCATGAGGAGCCGGGTCAGGCACACACTGTGCGAGGCGATGGCCAACCCGTGCCGCGAACACACCGAGTAGGGGCAGATCTCGGCTCCCAGGAACACGGCGCCAGTGCACACGAGCGCCGGCAGCCACGGGAAGTGCACCCCCGCCTCTCCGTAGTCCTCCCCGGGGTCCCCGAGACCCGGCGGCAGCGAGGCGTACAGCCAGCCGGCCAGCGCGGCATTGGCGCCGGCTTGGCCCAGGAGCAGGGTGCAGAGCAGATGGGTCCCCCTGCCGCGCACGGCCTGCACGCGGCGCGCCTGCTCCTGCTCGGCGGCCGAGCCACTGTTCCGCAGCACCCGTAACTCCACTGGGTCCAGCGAGAGCAGGCTCAGGCGCAGGCCGCTGAACAGGGCGGACAGGGCCAGCAGCAGGAGCGCCCCGAGCGCTCGCAGCCACGCGGGCGGCAGTAGGTCCCCACCCGGGCCGTAGAGCCGCGGGCGGACGCGCAGCAGGAAGCCGCCGGCGGCGCCGTGGTGGTGCCAGGCGCGCCCGTCCCAGGCGCACAGCGAAAAGAGCTTCCCGCCGCCGCCCGCGCCGCCGCGCTCCGCCTCGCCCTTACGCAGCTCCCGCACCCGCACCTGGACCAGGGCCGAGCCCGCCACGCCCCCGGGGCGCAGGGGCCCCAGGACCTCCACGTCCGACGCCCAGTCGCTCTGCTCGCGGCAGCGCTGCGGTCCCGGGGGGCGCGTGGGGACCGCGCTGGGCGCCGCGCCGCTCGCGCCGGGGGGCTCCTCGATGAACACGAGCCGCGGGGCCCAGTCGCCCGTGCCGTTCGCCCCCGGGGCCAGGGAGGGCGCGGGCGCGGGCGCGGCGGGGGCCGCCGGCCCGGGCTGGAAGTAGACCCGCAGGAGGAAGCTGGTGCCTTCGGCCGCACGCAGGGTGCCCCCCTCCAGGGACACTCGGCCTCCCGCGGTGTCTTCGGGCCGCAGACCCAGCAGCCAGGCGGCGGCGGCCGGGGGCCGAGGTGACAGGGAGAAGAAGAGCAGGAGCACGGCGCCCCGGCTGCAGCAGTCCCGGAGCCTGACACCCACCGCTGCTGCCGCCGCGGCCGCCGCCGCCATCCTGCAGCCGGCGCGGTTGCACGTGATGCTGCAGCGAGCCGAGCGCGAGCTGGAGGGAGGAGGAGCTGGAGCCGGGGAGCCGGCCCCAGGCAGGTCACCACGTGTGCTCTCCTTGCGCGCGTGGGCTGGAGGCGGGGGCGGGGGTGGTGATGAGGGTGCTAGGAACCCGCCTGGGAGGGGTCTCCAGGGGGAGGACGGAGGTGGCCACGCACGGTCACTGTGCCTACCCTGGACACGCTTAAGTGTGTCTCCACCGTAGTCCTGGGAAGGCTTGGTGTGACGCATGGCCTCCTACATCGGATTGTTCCTCCTCTTCATCCCCGCCCCCCCCCCCCCCCCCATTCCGCTCTCTGGCCGGCAGCAATTCCGAATCGCAAGGCCCATTGCTTCCCTTTCGAGCCAGGAATTTTCCCAGCGTTTCCCCTCTGTCTCTTGCCTTCTTACTTCTAATTAAGAGATATTCTGGTGGCTGGTCCTGAATCTGTGAAAAATTTTGGACTCAAGTCTAGCTAACCTTTCATATTGTAAAAAATTCCAAATTATTTTAGTTCAATTCCTTGTGAAGCTATCAGTGTTGTTCATCAGTAAATTGAAATGCATTATGGGACCATTATGGAACAGATTGTGCAAGATCCAGTGTATATGTAATATGGAAAACCAGCGCAGTAGAGAAATCGTAGGGTGATGATGAGACCTCTCTTGTTAAGTATTCACGAATGAATTTTATATTCATGGCCTCCTCGTGTATGCCAGTATCAAGTGTCGAACGGGAAGGATGCCCAAGAAATGCAGTAACAGGATTAGTCTCTTGATGTATAGATTAACAAGAAGTTGCAAAAAAGAAAAAGACACAGAAGTACCTCTACTTTTCACTCAGCTTCTTCCACTGTTTACATCAAAAGCAAGATACTGGAATTGGTGTAAAGCTCATACCATTTTGTCATCTCTAAATTTATGTAACCACCACCACAATAGTAAAAATACACATCTTATTCTTTTTTTTCCCCCAGCACGATCTGGGAGATTTTTTTCCCCACTGAATTGCTCATGTTATTTGTATCCACCATCTGCTAGAAATGCTTATTCTTATGCCTCATTTCTTAAGCGTATGTAGCAAAACCCACTGTTTTTGTTATATTGCTACATAAGTTTTTGAGACTGGGTCTCATGTATCACAGGACAAATTCACTAAATTGCCGAGACTGACCTTGAACTCCTGATTCCAAGATTATACATGTGCACCTCTACCCTCTCAATGCTGTAGATGCTATGATGGAGCCATATCCATGTCCCCATCACAGTAAAAAGTAGGTCCATCTTGAACTGGGGTGTAGCTAGGATGCCTAGCGTGCGGTAGGCCCTGGATGCCACCCCTCAACACCACACCTTCACCTCCTCCTTGTCCTCTGTAGTTTCCAGAAAGCCTCATAACTGCTAAGTGTGCAGTGTTTGGGAGCTGCCATTGCTCACTCTGTATACTTGAAATTCATCCAGGTTGCATTTGTCAATAGCCCCTCCATTTGTACATGAGTAGAAGTCATTATGTGGAGAAGTCACAGTTTGTTCATCTAGGTAAGGAATGACTGAATTATTTCCATTTTCGGCAATTCTAATGAAGAGTTCTAGACATTTGTGAGCGGTTTTCATCCCTTAAGTGACTATGCGATGTATAATGAAATCATTGTTTATTCTGAAGTCAGATCTTGTGTGTGTGTGTGTGTGGCCGCACACGTGTATGTGTGTGGGCCTGCATGCACCATCCATCTTGTTTCATTTCGTTTTGTTTGTTTTTTAGGCAAAGTTTCTTATTGGCTTGCGTACTTTTACTAGGTTGGCTGGCCAGCAAGCCGCTAGAACCCTCCTGTCTCCGCTTGCACAGCACTGGGATTCCAAGCAAATACCATCAGCGCCCCCTACCCCTTTTGTATTTCTGAGGATCTAATTCAAGCCTCATGCTTCATGGCAAGCTCTTTCCTGAGTTATCCACGTCCTGAAGTTACACCTTTTAAGTTCCATTTTTATTTTATTTATTTTGATACTGAGGATTAAACTCAGGACCTCTTGGGTGCTGAACAGTTGGTCTACTACAGCAAATCATCCACATTTCTGGCACTTATAATCAGTACAGCTGTGGATATGGAATGATCATGTTAAGGTCATTGACACCTGCCACCTCAAATATCTTTGTAGAAATGAAAACATCTGAAATCTTCCCATAGCGATTCTGAGGTGTTCAGTCTATCAGCCGCAATCAACCTGCTGTGCAATGGAGTATCAGGCTCCTTCCTCCCATCTAGCTGTCACTTTGTAGCCATTGAACAGCATCTCCCAGGTCAACCTCAGCTAGCTACTGAGTAGCTACTGAGTAGGTTCTACTCTACTCCCAGGAGTTTGACCTTTTTCTTTCTTTTATTTTTCCCTCCTTGGATTACATGTGTGTGTGTGTTTAGATTCTCTATGGCTCTATTTGTGTATTTGCGCGCACACACACACACACACACACACACATACATATACACACACATAAATGTATGTGTGTGTATATGTATGTAAATGTATGTATATGTGTGTAAATACATATAAACACACACACACACACATATATATATACACACACACACTTCTGGAGTTACAGACAGTTGTGAGCTCTTATCTACCCCTTTCTCCACTCTCAAGTACCCCATCAATGCTTCAGGCATATAAAGTGTGAGTTCTTCTATCAAGCTACAGTACAGCTCTTCATAAAAGTAAGTTTATAAGGAGAAGAAAGAGGAAAGGACAGGGAATAACCGTGATTGTGTCCTCTCTTACATCAGATCTATAAACACGTGTTAGGCTCAGAAAATCAATTAGCTTTCCTAGCCCAGTGTCTCGACCGTGAAATGAGTTTTCGGATCTCCACCCCTTCGTGAGTCAGCTTGTAAGGGCTAATGAACCCCAGGTGAAGATAATCTGGCGAGACTGAGTACTTTTCCTTTAGCTGAACACGAGGTCCTGGAAAAATACTGGGTTTCTGGAGCTCTGCTGTAATTGTAAGGATTCCTGGGGACAGGTTCAGCTGGCGTGATTGTCCCAAGGAAGAGCTGACGAAAACAGCTCTCAGAAACCAAACAGGCACCCTCTTCCTAGTTTATAAGATAAAACTCTCCACTTCTTAGAGAGAGGGAGGAAATAACATTTTCCTTCAACGTCATAAATGTGCTGTTTCAGAATATACTTACTAGAATGCTTTGGCTTTTGCCACTACATGTGGATCTATGCCAAAACGTGTTAATTGACGGAGTGCCAGGTCCTTGGAAAGATGTTGACCCCATCCTTGCCACACAGGGGCTTAGATTCTGCTAGGAAGATAGGCACAAATGGAAACTGCTTACTTACTGAATTAAGGACAACTTGTAAGTACATGAGATGATATATCTTTGGACCCATCTATGGAGAAGAGTCTAGAAAATGATGTGTTAAAATGAGATGAAGTGAAAACAGAAGTTCATACATTTGGAGAATAAGAATAATATTTTCTTTTGTCTTCCATTTCTTTTTTTTTTGTTTTGTTTTTTCTTCTTTCATTTCTTTGTATACTACAACTGTGAAACTACATTAGTGACATTCTTTTTTGTTTGTTTGTTTTATTTTTTTTTTTCCAGACAGTGTTTTAGCCTTGGCTAGCCTGTAACTCATTCTGTAGACCATGCTGGCCTTTAACTCCCAGAGATCCGCCCGCCTCGGCCTCCCGAGTGCTGGGATGAAAGGCATGTGCCACCACCGCCCAGCCATTGATGACATTCCTAATGACAGTCTGTTAACATGAATTGCTCTGCACTAGGCACATTATCTTTATAACCTTCATAACAATGGAGAAAACCATGTGATTAGATGATTCTCTGTATTATATCATTGGTGAGTCTGCATTGAGCCTACAATTATAACTTTTTTATATCTATTTATTTTTGTGTGTTCATATATGGGTGGCTGTGTATGCCATGGTGTTTAGAGGACACATTTCAGTATAAAGTTTCCTTAGATCAGACTAAGGTTGTTAGACTTGGTGGTAACCACCTATACCTACCTGCTAAGCCGTCTTGTCAGGCCCCCAAAGCCTACAGTTTATTATTCTTTATATTTAAATTTATTTTTAACAGTGTATATACATGTGTGTTTCTGTGTATTTGAGTGAAAGTGCCTGTAGAGGCAGAAGGATGTTGGATCCCTGGAACTGGACTTACACTTGAAGTAGGTGCTGGGAACTGAACTCAGGTCCTCTGCTAGAGAACTATGTGCTCTTAACCACTGAGCCATCTCTCCAGGACCCCTTATTGTGACTTTAAAAAATCAGCATACATATATGGATTTTGTTAAGTTATTTTTATAAAACTGTGTTTGTTTCTCATTTTCTCTCTTAACCTGGCTATCAACCAAATAATTGAGCTCTTTTTTATTTGTTTAATAATAAACTTTACAACATAATAACTGAGCAGTTATTATTCTATTTTTAACCCTCTAAGCTAACTTAATTTCCTCCCAGTGTACATTCCAGAGACACTTTGTAGCTCTCGCACCTCTCCTGATATCTCTTGGACCTCTGCCCATGGCTCAATCTCTATTTCTTCTTCTAACTCATCCTCCCCTGGCTAGCAGGAAGTCTAGCCCTATTCTTTCCTCTGCTCAGTGATATCAGAGGACAATTGGGGAGCAGTGTTTACACAACATTGAGACAGGAGATTCTCAGAACAAGGACTGCAACCAGATTATGATGGGGAGGGAGAGGGGGGTAACAGAAATCAACATTTAAATTATACAATAACCTTCTGCCTACAAGATTTTATTTTTATATTCTCATATATATATACATATGTTATTGTATATTGCTCAAATTTAACCTTCCCATTAAATTCTCTGGATACCCCCTTCCTTTCCCTCTTTGGCTTCCTGACTCGAAATAGTTCCCTTCTTTCTTTTATGTCACATATATGCATATATATGTTTATTTAAATCTAGATCCTGCATATGAGAAAAATGTGATATTTATTTTTCTGTATCTAGTTTTCTTTGTTTCACATGAGGATCTGCAGTCACATGCATTGTATTGCAAAATTATTATTTTTTCTTTATGGGCAA